GCGAAAGGAAATTATGAGATAAGAAATTTGAATTTTCTATCAATTTCTTGTCGATTGAGTGCACATATGTGGGCGTTATAATGCAAATAATAAAAAGTTTTTCTGGGGGTTGCAGAAGTCAAACGTGATCCCCATCGAGACTCGATGGGGCGCCCTCAGGAAATCTAAACCGGTAACAAGATGGCTGCTCGGAAACGGAAACCGGAAGCTTGTCACTCAAGCTACGCGGACTTCCGGCGTGTCCCGAAAAAAGGGAAGCGGTTCTGAAACAGACGGAGAAAAGGGAAGGAAAGAGAGAAAGAAAGAGAGAAAAGAATATTGTTTCAAATGTATTGTTTTATTATATTTTCTATTAAGAGAAACAATACGATATTAGAGTGAAATCTTTAAATTTTCTGCTATGTGTTTTTTATATTAATTATATTTATAAATGATGCAAACAAAATTATTTTTGCTATTTAAGATTTTGTATAACAGAATTTATGTAACATATTATTATTAATATTGAAACAAAGTAATTATTATAAAAATAAAGTAATTATTATGCTTTGATATTAAGAATCTTGTATTGATCAAGAGAAATCATTTATTAAAAACTTTAAAATTTTATTTTAAAAATTTTTACATAGCAGAATATGAATCTCAAATTTCTCTTTGATTCTCTTTTTTAAATACGTTTTTTTTTTAAAAGATAGGTGAGAGAGAGGGGAAGGGGGAGGGAAGAATTATTTTTCTGTGATAAAATTGATAAGAAAAAACAAACAGTAAAAATTTGATATCTTAAGATTTCCAGATTTATTAAATATGCTTCTGATATATTAGTTTATTATATATTATACACAATTTACATATATACAATTAACCTACAACTAATTAATTAAGGACGAAACATTGGATATTCTTGCGATTACTCACAATAGGACCTCGCATATATTCTTTGATTATTGTAATATCGTAGTAAACATTACTACATCCTGAAACATCACTATATCAGTATAGTACAGTATATTATTTTAAGCTTCAAATATTTTAAATTTAAAATAACGATTTACAAGGTTCATTCTAATATCGACAAAATGTTGCTCTCATACCAAAGTTCTTTTCGTCAAACTTTTAATACTTTTTAAATGCGTATGTATATATATATATAACGAAATTATTAACAAAGCTTTATTCCGACAAGGATATTCAGCTATGAAAATTCCGTACATTTTATATATTCAGAGAATTGAATTTCTGTTTCCTTTTTTATGAAAATCTACTATGAGAAATGAAAAATATTGGAGAGATATAGAATCATAAAATTATACAGCTATTTTACAGGTATAGAATTTTATCTGGAAAATCTCTCTTGCAAAATGTCATATATGCGAATTCTTTGACGATATGAAGAAAAACCGTGCACAGTTTACATTAGCTATGTGTGTAAATCGTGAAGAAATATCTATATCGTAAAAATTTTTCGACGGTCGAATTAGCAGATCACGATTGAGTCACGAATCGATCCGTTGTGGCAGTAATCCATCTTCGTGTGATTTACTATCGTTCCGCCATGAATGCTTATAGCGTTTTTCATTGGCAGAATTGCTAGTGCGCACTCAGTGCACATTAAAGCTGTTGTACATTATTCTAATCTAAATGTAAAAGTGGGATATCTTAATTGACAAAATGCCCAATATGTATTTTATCAAATAGCACAATAAAATGTATTGAATATTTTGCGGTTTTTAATTCGTTTCTATATTTTTATTAAACGTACATCTTTATGTCGATTTGTGTACAACAGCTTTAAACTGCACTGAGTGCGCTCTAGTTCTGGCAGTGAAAAACGCTATTAGTTATACGATATCAAGTTAGACGACCTTATGCATTTTATGATTAAATTGGAATTCCTTGCACTTACAGGATATTCTTTCTCGTGACACACGCTTTAAGGACTAATTTAAAATCTACATACGTGAGTCATTGTAAAGTGTAACAGTTTTGTACAAATATTTAATTTCGTAAGAACGCAACATCGGTATCGTCTAAAATTTCTCTACGCGTTTTTCTTACATTTATAATTATTCATAACTATTTATAATTATTTACCTATTCACGTCAAACTAATTCATTAGACGTGAAAATGATCTTTGGTTTCCGACAATATTCGTTACTGTCTCTAATTCCTTTATAAATATCAACACTTGTAAAAAGTTTCAAGTGGTCACAGTCCTGGATTTTAATTATCTTCTGTTGAAGAAATATAAACTTGCGGAATTATGAGATTTATCTCTAACTTCATTGAACTATTTTCCGACGCGACGTTAAATCTTTCGCATTTGCTTGTACCTTTAATGATAAAGTTTTGTCAATTATCGAATTTATCAGTTTGAAGTAAAGTTTACTTCACATTGTACATAATCGTGTATACGTATTAAAGCTACGTATTACGTCGTATGTGAATATAATTAATATATTGCGAACTTCGCTCGTCTTGAGAACCATTAAAATTCCATTGTAATATTTTTTCAGAATATAATCGTATATAAGTAGATCGATTAACTCATTATAGTTTCTTTGTTATTATATTAGGTTAAGTAAAAAGTCATCGCGTTTTTTTAAAAGACATCTATCAGTAAAAACCGCAATTACTTTCTTACCAACAATATAAATATATCTTGATAGAGTAAAGTTTCAGCTTTAAAAATCTCTTTTTTAAATTATACGATACGATAATTTTTAATGGAGTTATGAGCAATTAAAGTCAAAATAATTCTTTTATTTAATCCGCGATAACTCAGTAATCAAAAGTCGTAGGAATATTTAAAAAAAACGATTTTGTAGGGAAAGTATCAAGCTTTCACGATAGGTAATCGAAAATTTTCTCAAATTCGTTTTGGACACGTTACAAATCCACAAAGTGAGAAGAAAATTTTTCGTCTTTTTCAGCTCGTAGTTTTTGGTATGTAAAAATTATCAAACTCATATAAACTTAAAAAATGTGATAAGCTTTTAAAAGTAGAGATTTCAAGCTTTAAAACCCTTTTTTTAAATTTGAATTTCATTCATTATTGACGAAGATATTGTATATACAACTTTGAGCTAAAAAATACGCGATGACTTTTTACTCAACCTAATATTTTATGTGCGAGTTATACTCACCTATAACTGTTTATGCGCTACATTCCTTTGTGCATATTTATAAAAATAATAAAATATTTACCGAAAATATATTAATTTCAACAAATATCTATTAATATCGTAAAACATTTTCAAATTTTCATTTTTTAGCGTTACGAAAAAAGTGGAAAGACATTAAATGAAAGATATATTTAAAGGAAAAGTTAAAAAATTTATATCTAAGAAAAATTTCAAATTCATTCAATTTTGAAATATCTTTCTAGGAATGTAGTGACTGATTTTAATTCAGCTTTGGGTTCGTTGGACGCGCGTGTTAAATACTCTCGTAAAACTTGTTCCGTAAAACATCATAGCAAACGTCATAGCAAATTTACTTTGAGAAGTCCGATTGTATACGTTTCTCAAAATACACCTGATGGTTAAACACGTTGTCAAACTTAGAAATAATTTAGCTTTTCATTTCATTACATGTCTATGTCTGTAATTACGTTCAAGAGGAGATATGCACGAGAAGTTGAAACATTGGTAAGAACCAATGTTTCAAAATTTATTCCGTCAATTGTTTCCAACTAATACTTGTTAACCAGTTTTTTTATATTAGGAGTATAAATATGTTTCCGCCGTTTGACAAACAATGGCGCTACCAGTATATTATAGTTAAAATTGTCAGCTGTCATATCGTAAGGTTGGACATTTGGCAAGAAAACCTTGAAATATTAGCGATTTTGCATCAGCATCTTATATCTTTTTTCGTGCGAAAATGTCGAGTTTTGAGTCGAATAAGCATCATTTGCGGGAGCTTTTGATTTACTTCTTTAATTTGAAGAAATCTGCAGCTGAGGCGCATCGATTGCTTGTAGAAGCATATGGTGAGGCTGCCTTAAGTGAGAGAAGTTGCCGTGAGTGATTTCAAAAGTTTAAGAACGGTGAATTTGACGTCGAAGACAAAGAACGTAGCGGAAGGCCGAAAGTGTACGAAGACGCAGAATTGGAAGCATTATTGGATGAAGATTCGTGCCAAACACAAGAAGCACTTGCACTTACATTAGGAGTGACTCAACCAGCAATTTCACATCGCTTAAAATCGTTGGGAATGATTCAAAAGCAAGGAAATTGGGTTTCATATGAACTGAAGCCGAGAAACGTTGAACGCCGATTTTTCACATGTGAAATGCTGCTTGCCAGGCATAAACGAAGGGGTTTTTTGCACCGTGTAGTCACTGGTGATGAAAAATGCATCCACTACGATAACCGAAAGAAGAAGAAATCATGGAGACCACCTGGCCATGCTTCAACATCGACAGCCAAGCCGAACATTCATGGGAAAAAGCTCATGTTGTGTATTTGGTGGGATCAGCTAGGTGTCGTTTATTATGAGTTGCTCAAACCGAACGAAACCATTACCGGGGCTCTCTACCGAACACAATTGATGAGATTGAGCCGAGCACTCAAGGAAAAACGCGCCCACTACTACTCCAGACACGACAAAGTTATTCTTCTGCATGATAATGCTCGTTCACATGTTGCGGAGCCGGTCAAAATCTACTTGGAAACATTCAATTGGGAAGTTTTACCCCACCGCCGTATTCACCAGACATTGCTCCTTCTGATTACTACCTGTTTCGATCGATGGCGCATGATCTGAGCAACACTTCACATCATATGAAGATACCAAAAATTGGGACGATTCGTGGATAGCTTCAAAAGATGAAGCGTTTTTCCGACGCGGTATCCGTATGCTGCCAGAAAGATGGGAAAAAGTAATGGCTAGCGATGGACAATACTTCGAATAAAACATTAGGTACCGTTTTTTCACAATAAATGCCCAATTTTTGATTAAAAACGGCGGAAACTTATTTATACTCCTAATACTTTCTTCCTTGACCATAATATCGATGATGTCATCGATAATATCGAATTCATATTTATTATTACTATCGCATTATCACGAACCTTCTAACACTTTCATGTTCAACATCACATGCTATAAGATTATTCATACCTTCCATCTTGAATTTCTTCGTTCATCTTTCTTCGTTCTCTTCGTTTACGACTTCTTGTTCACGACAATATTTTTATCGGGAATTGCAATATTGTTTCGCAATAATCATCGATCAGCGTGAATCGCCACAGATTGCTCTGGATTGTTTTATCCTAGTCAGTTCAGTTAACTATTTTACCACCAATATTTCTGTGGTATATATGGCGCCATAGGGACCTGGCCGCTTCCGGGATATGCAGTAGGTTCCATCAGCTTGGATTGGCAGGGTTTGCCATCTCTCACTAGCACTGGCACGGCGACTCTTCTGGGCGAGCAGCCGCTGCCGCCGGCTTCAACACGTTCACTCGCCGCTCTCTTCGTCTTGTACCTGTGATTCTGGAACCAGATCTTCACTTGAGTTGGTGTAAGGCGGATGATAGAGGCCAAGTGCTCTCGCTCGGGCGCACTCAAATAACGCTGCTGACGGAAACGTCGCTCTAGTTCGTAAGTCTGAGCCTTGGAGAAGAGCACACGTCGCTTGCGTTTCTTATGTTCGGTCTCATGGGGTTGCGACGTTTCGTTAGTATGTTGCTCGTCCTCAAAGTCCTGTGACTCTTCGTCTTTCGATGACTCGTGACTGTTCTCCTGTTGTGACGGGAACGACATATCCGAGATCGCCGGGCTCGTCGAGTCTGGTTGTTGAAGAACTGAAAAAGTAAAGAAAAAAAGAAATTAAAATGACATTTTCTTGTATTTTAAAAGCTTCTTGTTTTATCGCATTCTTTTCTAATTGATATTAATCTTCTTGAAGTATTATTTGTAGAAAAGTTACATTTTTAAACATAATGCGAAATATTACTAAAAAAAAAAAAATTTTTTTTATAATTAATTAAATTAATCTTGTTATACACTTTTCCGTGAAATTATATTTACGTAGATCGTTGATGTAGTCATCAAAATACATAGATAGAGTGACGCAGAAGTATAGTGTTTAGTAATCAACCGACTCAATTACTTGATTGACGTTAACGAACTGCAGCTGCATTTCGATTCAGCCGACATCATCGATTGCTCTTAGCGTTGATTACCGGCAGATGCTAGCTTGCATTGATTTTTTAATAGTTTTTCTAATCACACTTTATTCTAATCACAATTAGACAGTTGACTCTCGTAATCTGAGTTTATCCCGAGTTAAACTTGACATGGAAGTTTTTTTCGGATATAACTTTTTCTTTCCATCCCTCTTTTTCAGATATAAATTTTTTCTCTCTACAATATGTCTTTTATTTTAATATCTAAACTTTTGTTTCATGATGCTAAATAATGAGAGAATTTATTTATGATGAGAATTTAATTAGTTATGAAAATAGAAGCGATTGAATATAACAAACTGTTATTATAATTCACGATTTAACGCGACATAATGAAAGATTAAATTTAAACAATACGTAAAATATGAAACGATGATAACGCAAATGTCATTTCGCTGACGCGGTAATTATGCTACGAGAAATATACATACAATAACTTTATTTAGCGAAGTGTGGGTAAATGTTACGACCTGGCCGAGATACTAGCTAATTTCGTGTACAACGTCGGGATACTGGCTTTCGTTGTAGTACAATATGCTTTTGTGAGCGACCCCTGAAACCCGCTTGGGGAGGGTGTGAACCAATATAAAGCCTATTTGATACCCCTGCTGGACCCCATGGGATCAACCATATCATTTTCATGGGAGATTAGATCGTGCTCGCAGTCGTACTGTGATTTCAATTAAATACTCGCCGCCGACTAATGTCTCCAAAGGAAGCTACGCGATGGCGACGAAGGAAGGAATGACGCGTCCTTTCCACTTATTTATCAAAAGTGAGTCTTTCCTGGCTTTAGCTTCGTGCTTATATACACAATTGTGTATACATTTTATACTCGAACAAATATAAAATATACACTGAGAGAAAAAAATGGTTGCAAGTACTACAATTTAACCGTAATTTATAGTCATTTTTTTGAAGTAATCAATTACAAATTTATAATTGTTTCAACCATGCACATTATAGTTGTTTTAACATTGAAATGTGATCATTACAACTATAACATCATGCATTAAGATTTTCCTTATCATACCTCTTAGTTATTATTACAATATAAATAGTTAGTAAATGTTAAAAAAATAGTTATATTCACTATGATGATGATTGCATTTATTACATAAAAATGATTATTTTTATTTAGCATTCGTATCTTATAATATTTTATTATATTAGTAGTTCAAGTTATCATAATTTATAGTATAATTTTTTCATATTTAAGAGAACTATACATATAAGGTTATAATTGCTAACATTATCTATAGATAATAATAGTCATAAAACTGGACCTCCTAACTATAGTTTTTCAACTATGTAATTATAGTTACAAGTATCAAATACTTTACTCTTTGTGTATATATAATTGCTGTTACTTGGACTTGGACTTTATCTGTTTATCGAGAAATTTAGTAAGGAGATTTTAGATCTCAATTTAGATTTAAACAAATCTCTTTCTTAATATAAAAAATAGAGATAGAAGAAATTTTACATTTTCATATTCTATTCGAAATTCTAATTATAACAAATTTAATGTGACGGATGATGAAAGAATCTAACATGAGTCTAGCTCGTACAATTTTCCAAGATTGATCAGGCCGGGATGTTTGACTCCGTCTAAACTTTTTATAAATCAGCTTCGAGAGAATTCAGTGTAATACGCTATCCACTGAACAATGTAAATGTCTGATATAAAAGAGATCTACTCAATCGTGCTTCTCCCCTCTTTATCTGCTACAGGACCGCAATTATTCGTGCGTGATGCGTTTCTCAACGGTTTGACACGTTGCCTGAATTTTTCGCTCGTGCAAACTGTAGCTACGGAAAAAGGAGTTGACAACGCGGGATAGGTCGTCGACGAATTTTTTGGGCGTGACGATACCGATTCATTTGGGGGGTCGGGGACACGGGACCCCTCTCTCGCATCTGTCCCCGACTCAACATCTGTCCTCTTTCGCGGACCAATCGTTGTGCGGTACCCACGAGGACCTTTTACAGAACCATTAGATCCTGCTTAACCCTCACGGACCAATTGTAGGGTGCTAAATAAATAAGGGTTTCTATCTCGCACCCCCCCTTCCTCGTCCGCCCGCAAAAGCGCGTGTACGTTCTTTTTGCTGCGCACCAGTGAGGAATGGGGTGAGAAAACTTGCGTCTTAAACGATAGTGCAGCGATCGAAGACGATTAGATCTCATTCCTTAGGGTGCAAGTGATTTGGATAATGCAGTTAAAATAATTTATTTATTACGCATTTTCTTTAAAAGATTAATCTCTAAATTTCTTGAAGTAAAATCTCATTTCAAAAGAATGAAAATACTGTATATAGTAGATTTAGATTTTTGGTTACTAATTATTCTGAAAAAAATGGTTGTTACTATAATTGGTCATGGTATAGCGAGAGCCGAGAAATGCACGAAATTAATCTCTAATTGTCCCGGCTTTATGCAGGTACATGTCGAATTTCTCTTACGAAAAGACAAATCATCTCTGACAGCTCCGCGAAACACTCTTCGCTCTACTATAGTGAATTATTTGTTGAAATTAATACTAAAAGAATATTTATATTGTAGTAGCAACTAAATTTTACATTGTTATTTACAAAACGTAAGTAACCAAATAAATTTGTACTGTTAAATACAAAAATTTTATTCATCTAACAAAAAAATATTATATTTTGCTATTTTAACAAAATAATCTAACCAGCCGCTTGTGAATTCTTTTTTACCATTTTTTTTTTACCATTACTATATCTTTTTTCTTAGTATTGAAGTAAGATGTCACTCCAAGAAATTTAGAAAAAATAATTATTCCTTAGTACAATTAAATATACACTTTCAAAATTATGCGATTGATTTTAATAATTTTGTTGCCGCGTATGTCCCCGGTTTGTAAACAATCAAATAAAGAATAATTGTTTAAACAAATTGTTTTGTTCCAGTAAATAAAAAAAATGTTCTATTTCTAATTACACAAAAGATCTATAAACATTATATGGAACAGTTTTGTATCGTTAAATTATAAGTTTATTTAGTAAATTTAACAAATTAATATCGTCGTAACCAACGATTTAATTGATCATATATCAACAAATAGTTTTTGTGTCAGTAACAAAGAGTATTTGTTCGCTCACCATTCACCTCCTCCAAGGGTTGAGGTAATGTTGTTGGTAATGCCGGTCCAGTTGGCCATCCTAATAATCCAGGTGGAGGCGGTGGTAGTGTACCCCTGTTCAGATTAGCGTGCATAGGTTGCAGCATGGCGGTTGTGTGCTCCAGAAATTGCTGGTAAGCCGACGGCATGTCGGTAGCCGTTGGTAAAACCGTCGTGGTACCTAGAACACAAAATTATAGTAAATTTATTAATTTTCTTCTTTTACACTCAAGTAGAAATGTGCGCAGTAAAGAAATTTTTAAAACTTTGAAATTTTTCTGATTTTAAAATTACATTAATTTATTTAAGGTGAACTTTTTTTTTATAAAATTAATATATTCATATTTTAAAATAATAAAAACTGTACCATTTTATAAATTTTGTCAGTTCTAACTTGCAACAAATTAATACTAAATATATTTTTATAATTATGTTTAATTGATATAATGAGATAGCAAATGTTCTTTATTACTAGTTCTGATTTAGTTAATTTAGTAATAATTTTGATATTACCTTGCACATCTAATTCTTCTTGCGACGGTTTGGCATCGTTTAATTCCAAAATGTCACTGATAGCGAAACCAGAAGTTCTAGCCGGCATTTTCATACTTTCCAGTAGCCTGTAACAAAAAATTACATAACTGCTATAATTTTGGCCTTGAACAAATATTGTATATATAAATGATGTTAAAGAAAAAATTTGGATATTTTATATATAAAATTTTCATAAAAAATATATATAAATTGGTATGTAAAGATAACATGATTTTATACATCACGAATTTACATATGTGTAATTTTCGATTCGTAAGATCGTTAATGCAATCTTAGTGCTTGTTCACATGACAATGCTTATTAAATCAGTCTTCCTAATCTCTCGAGATACAACGACGAATAGATTGATATGTTTCAGGTATTACATTATACTTATCAGCAATTAATTAATATATTACATAATTTTAATTTTAATTTTAATAAACGTATATATCGTATATTCATAGCAAGTTTGAATGGAAGTCAAAGATAGGTGTGTTTTGCGAACATGGTGATTTTGCGAGGATTCTGCGTGGGACAGTCAATACTTTGTATTTTAGGATCTTTGTGACCTTTGGATCGCTTCTTTAAGAAGATTCGGTAAGATTTAATTTTTGTCACTCGGCTTCGGAAGCTGTGTGACGACCGGCCTTTTCAGGACCCGATTAAAGAAATGTCTTTAAGGGTCACAATACCTGTGCGCGTTTGACTACAATCAACCTGTCTTCGGACCTATGTATAGAAGTAAATTTTTGGGTCCGTTTACTAAGCCATATGAGCCATTATCGCGTCACGTTTAGCTAGACGTTCCAATATATTCCCAATACAAAGTGCGGATGCTTTGAGTAATCTTTTTTGAACTCACACTTTTACAGACGCCGTTTGAAAATTTTGATGGACACAAGAAGTTTGCGACGGGTTGAGATAATAATTATTTAATATAATTTTTCGTTATGTTTTAACTCATTTCAATTTTCAATTACAAACGTGATTTTAACTACAACGACGGTTTTTATTTAACAGAGTTTTATAATGCATAGAGAAACTTAATGAGTCTAATTTATTTATTTATTTTAATATGCCGTTTTGACTTGAATTATGCAAAAATCAAATTAAAATATCAGAAAGGTGATGCCGTTGAAGTTCCTATAAAGAGCCGATAATTATTTGGAAGTGCCAGCGTTGAAATCGCTCGCGATTTCAATCTTTTCTAATTATAATATTTTTTACATTATTTGAATTTTATTATCAGAAAATCATTATGATTTTTGTCACTAAAGAGTTTCTCTTTATACAATAGAATTTTAATTATCCAAATTAGAGAGATAATTCGATAAACGATTATACTCCAAATATTCAGTCAATAAAAAAATATATGAAGTTTGTATATGGTATTTTGTGTTATATTTTGTTTATTGTACGATATTTATGAAGATAACAAGATAAAAATTATAAATGAACTTCTACATGTTTGTAGGTTCCAAATTACTGATATTAGAATGATTAATAAAGTCCATAGATATATAAAGTCTGAACATAATGTGTGCTTGGGCAAATTTACATAAATGTGAGCTTATATTTGTTCTCTTATTTTGTTTCTTAGATTGTATTCGGATAATCTTAATGATAATAGGCATTGCTACGTCGTTTGGACAAAGATTAAAGCGAGAATTGAATTTACAAAGATAGTAATGAAAGAACTATAAAATAAGTAATAAAAGACTTCAAAACTTAAATTTTAAAGCAGAATTATTTTAATACATGTTAAAAGTATTAGAAAATACTTTTATTTGTAAAGATTTATAGTTTATAGTATTTAGATCAAATTATATAATTCTGATTCTCTCTCTCTCTCTCTCTCTCTCTCTCTCTCTCTCTTTCTCATGTATTGCATCTATATTATATTATGTAATATATTATATAAATTAAATGCAATTGAATTATATATTACCTTATAAAGTCGTTGCATCGCCGAGAGCTTAATATACGTCTTGTCATGTAAACATAAAGTATTTAGTGATGATTTTTTGATGTTGAGTGTATGTTTAATCAATAAGTGTTGTAGTAAGTATCAAGGATATCGAGAGCCAATCGGATATTTAATGATATCGCACGATAATAAGCGATATATCTTAATGAAGGCAATAAAGTCACGTGTAAGTACTCGAGGGACGTAAAAATCCGTAAAAATATTTAAAAAATGACATTACATCGCATAAAG